TTTCAAAGCACAGAGGGCTGACAGCAGTGGCTTTTGTCTCCAGGCACATATCAGAATCCCTGTGGGGCTTCCACCAGGCTCAGAGGCTTGGTCAGGGTACAGGTGAGTCGGCCTGCAGGGGGCTGTGGCATCTAGACATCCCAGCAGCTTCAGATGAGTTAGTGACGTACACTGGCCCAGAGGCACTGAAGACAGACTTTTGGCACTTCAGATGTGGGCTTGCTTCGACATTCATTCACATGTGTGTGCATCCTTTTAGATTCTGAGATCCAGGATCAGAGGGTGGGCTTTCGGAAGTCTGAGTAACTGACATGTGCCTTAAACATAACAAAGGTGGCCTTTTTATTATAGTGACGAGGTTGGCAATGCAAGAAAAAGAAACAGGCGCCCTGTTTAGGTCTTCATGTAGCTGAGACTCCTTACAATGGCTCTGGTTGTCCATGGCCTTGCCTTTAAGTTCCATTTCACATCTTAGCAGGGGTGGGTACCCCTAGAAGCTAACAAGGCTAAGGTTTTGCTTTTCCTCAAGGGCTTTTCAAAGGCCTGTTCTTTTTTTTTTTTTTTTTTTTCCTGGAGATGGAGTCTTACTCTGTTGCCCAGGGCTGGAGTGCAGTTGTGCAACCTCTGCCTCCCAGGTTCAAGTGATTCAGCCTCCTGAGTAGCTGGGATTATAGGCACCCATCTACCAGGCCCAGCTAATTTTTGTATTTTTAGTAGAGATGGGGTTTCACGATGTTGTCCAGGATGGTCTTGAACTCCTGACCTCAGGTGATTCCCCCACCTCAGCCTCCCAAAGCGCTGGGATTACAGGTGTGAGCCCCCACGCCTGGATAAAGACCTGTTCTTAATTGTATATTCAGATCGTACATTCATTTCTTAAGGAGGACCCCAAATGATGTAAGCTTCAGGGCCCATGCAACGGAAACAGCCTCCGCATCTTACGTGATCATCATGATTGAGAAATGAACCCTTCACTCCCAGCTACTGGTGCGCCAACTGCCAACCCAACCTCCTCTCTCTGTCCAGTCCCTGGTTCAGTGATGCTTTGGAAATTCTTGCTACTTTTGAGCTCCAACCGAAGGCCCCACTGCCTACTAGTCACAGCCACCTGGATGTCCCATCACGCCTGCAGCGTGGCATGTCCCAAGCTGCACTCATCCCTCATCTGTCACTCCCAGTCCTCCCCTTCTTTTAGCGTCCATGCTCTGGTGGAGCCTGAAGCCTGGGAGTTATTCTGCATTGCCTCCTCCTCTCATGGCCTCCCTCTCCCACCCACAGGTGACCAGTAACACATGCCTTCTCAGTGTCTTGGTTCCCCATCTCCATCCTCAAGCCCCGCCAGGTGTGGCCTGCCCTACCATCATCATGTGCTGGTTTCTGAGTTTTGTCGTGGGTTTCTCCTATCCATCCTCCAAGCAGTTTTGAGAGGGTGTTTCTACAGCAATGGAAATCTGACCCTCTCTTCTCACCCAATGTTCCAGTGTGAATGGCACTGTGTCCCCTACCTCTGTCACTGTGGTTTCAGGCACACCGGCCTCTCTCCTGAACGCTTCCCCACCCCGTTCCTCCATCTGCAAAATTCTTTGCATCCTTGAAGACCCACTCCCTCTCTGCTTCCTCTGTGAGGACTTCTCCTTACGCCCAGTTGACAACTGCCTTCTGGAATCACCATCGACCTTCACACAGATTCCTATTACACCGCTCAGACACCGGCTCAATATCACATATCTTGGAGGACAGGATTTATGCCTCATCTCAGTGCCCAGTGATGTGCTTGGCACCTAATAGGTATGCAATAACTGTTTTGTTTTTTGAGATGGAGTCTGGCTCTGTCACACAGGCTGGAGTGCAGTGACGTGATCTCAGCTCACTGCAACCTCTGCCTCCTACGTTCAAGTGATTCTCCTGCTTCACCCTCCTGAATAGCTGGGATTACAGACATGCACCTCCATGTCTGGCTAATTTTGTATTTTTAGTAGAGACAGGGTTTCACCATGGAGGTCAGGCTGGACGTCAGGTGACCTATCCGCCCACCTTGGCCTCCCAAAGTGCTGGGATTACAGGTGTGAGCCACTGCGCCCGACCCCAATGACTATTTTTTTGAGTGAATGATGGCTCTGACAGCTTGGTAGTCTGTCCTAAATTAGAAACAGGCTGGAAAAGTCTAACTTCTTCTTCACAGGCCACAGAAACCCAAGTGATTTTCAATAACAACCCAGTCTGTGTTAGAGCCAATGCCCTGGAAAATGATATTAACCTTTTAACATTTTAAATTCACGGACCCAAATAAGTTCCATTCATTATTGTAAATTCTCTTATTCAATGGCTGATTATTCATGCCTTTGGCTTCTTACTTTTCCTTATCTTAAAGCCTGTTTTAGCATCTTATAATAGTTCTAATTGGCCAAGCATAGTGGCTCATGCCTGTAATCCCAGCACTTTGGGAGGCCAACATGGACGGATCATGAGGTCAGGAGAAGGAGACCATCCTGGCCAATGTGGTGAAACCCCATCTCTGCTAAAAATATAAAAATTAGCCAGATGTGGTGGTGCGTGCCTGTAATCCCAGCTACTCAGAAGGCTGAGGCAGGAAAATTGCTTGTACCTGGGAGGTGGAGGTTGCAGTGAGCCGAGACTGTGCCACTGCAGTCCAGCCTGGCAACACAGCAAGACTCTGTCTCAAAAAAAATATAAACAATAATAATAGTTAAAATTGATCGAGCCCTAGCTATGCGTCTTCTCCTGCGTTTCACATACATTAACTGCTAGCTCATCACCTCTTCAATCTTCATTAGAACCTCAGTTAGAGAAATAAAGCTTAAACATTCAACATATTAATAAATTGAACCCAACAAGTATGAACCCTTACTTGTTACCATGTCTCCTAAAAAGCTTAGAGGGAGAAGAGATTTTAACTGCTGGATTTTAATTATCTGTGCTATAGATCTCCATTATCCACGATGGCCTTGGTCTGCCACCACTACGGGCAAGAGAGAGCTCAATGTATTGCAGCCTGAATTTTGTTCAAGGCTTTAGGGAGTATTCTTGGATTTTGCAAGCAGCAAAAACAGTCGGTTAAAAAAGAGAAGGGTCAGGTCAGGCGCGGTGGCTCATGCCTGGAATCTCAGCCCTTTGAGAGGCTGAAGTAGGCGGATCACTTGAGGTCAGGAGTTTGAAACAGGCCTGGCCAACGTGGTGAAACCTCATCTCTACTAAAAATTATTCGGGCCTGATGGCAGGCACCTGTAATACAGCTACTGGGGAAGCTGAGGCATGAGAATCACTTGAGCCCAGGAAGCAAAGGTTGCAGTGAGCCAAGATTGTGCCCCTGCACTCCAGCCTGGGAGACAGAGCAAGACTGTCTAAAAAAAAAAAAAAAAAGAAAGAAAGAAAAGTCATTGTAAAAAGAAGGAGGGAAGTGAGAAGGAGGGAAGAAAGGCACAGAAAATTATAAAAAGACCACGTGGGAAAATGGCACAGGGGAAGCAGGAAGAAAATACAGGGAGGAAGAGGAATCCCACAATCCAGGAAAACAAAGCCAGAAAAAAGAGGCACAGAGGGTCCAATTCATTTCTCATTGCACATAAAAGGATAAGAAAAGGCTTTGGAGATAGCCTCAAAACAACACCCTCTCCACACCACAAAGAGCCAGCTTCTTCCTGAATGGTACCCAATGAATAATTCCCCCATCATTTGCTCAGGATCTTTTCTTAGAGTTTAACTGCCTTGCTGAACAATGAAGTGAAAATCCTCCCCAACATGGGAATGTTTTTTTCTTCTGTCAATTTAATAAAGAAGTTGGCTAGGGACAGATGTTAACCAGATAGCCTACGATCCACTCAGATGTGTAGTGTGGGTTTCAATGCTATTCGTGGATAAAACAGCTTCGAAAGCAATCTGGAGTGACATAATGGCCCAATATTGCTTTCTGTCTGCTAAAGCAAGTGTGGTTTTGATAGGTTTTTAATATGTTTTTCAGGGTTTGAACTGCATACCATCTCTCTGTTATTCTCTGCCAGGGAATCTGAATGACAGCACTCGCCTCTAAGATTGTTTCCACTATAATTTTTCAATTTGTTCTGGTCTGAAAAATGTGTGTAAGTGAAAACAGAAAATTCAAACACTGTGTCCCCTTCAAACATTCCGTTTTAGGTTTACAAGGACTTTGCAAACCATTCTCTGTTTCTCTCCCTCTTTGGCAAATAATTTTATTTTCTGACCACCTTTACTAGCCAGAAAATATGTGCTGTATTTCCAGGAACCTCTCTCTCTTATTTTTCAGATTTTTTTTTGCTTTTTGTTCTGAGACAAAGTCTCACTCTATCACCCAGGCTGGAGTGCAGCGATGCAATCTTGGCTCACAGCAACCTCCCGGGCTCAAGTGATTCTCATGCTTCAGTGTCCCAAGTAGCTGGGATTACAGGCAGGCACAACCTCGCCTGGCTAATTTTTGTATTTTTAGTAGAGATGGGGTCTCACCATGTTGGCCAGGCTGGTATTGAACTCCTGGCCTTAAGTGATCTGCCTGCTTCTGTCTCCCAAAATGTTGGGATTACAGGCGTGAGCTACTGTGCACAGCCTTTCAGCTCTTTTTGACCTGCAATCTCGTCTTTCAGCTCTCCTACCTCCTTCGATCCTGTCCCAAAAACCTTTGGGAGAACTCAGATGGCTTCAGTATTCAAGAGAAATTTGACATCATTTTCCCAAAGAATGCAGCCCCATTGGAAATTAAGGAATACGACAGTCTCTCAAAAGTCTCTTTGCCCATCTGCTCTGGAGGGAACCGAGCCAGCCATCTCACCTTAAGCAATTATAACAGCTTAGGTTTCCTTAGAGACAGGGAGAAGAAAATGAAAAAATATTTACCCAGAGAACTCAGAAGGGATTACTGTGGAGTAATTTGCATACACTTAAATTAGCAGGGGATTGGGGTGAGGATTTTTTAGTCACTTCTACACCTGCTCCTCTCTGGATCTGAGAGGCATCGCATCCACTCTTACCTTCCTTGGCTTCACTTTATCATGGTAGTCATACTGGAAGATCCCTTTGTAGCTCAGGCCCAGCCACCATGGTATGCCCTGCTTGTCCTAGGACATCAAAAAAAGTGCATGTAATTATGGGGCTGGAGGAAGTAAACACGTGCCAAGTGGAGATTTCCTGGCTTGGGTGCCAGAGGAGGGAAAGTGCCATTTCTTTGGAATGGATGGAGCCCACCTGTCCACTTCATTCCTTAACAGATGCGCCCGCCCCTCATTGAAAGATGCTCTGTTATGTAAGAGGGTACATGGGGAGTGGTGGGGTCTGGGGTCTGGCTCTGCTCCTAATCAGCCACACAGCAGAGGTCCTTTCCCTTTAGAAATAACGAGTGAATGTCCTGCTTTCTCTCTCTCCCTCTCCCTCTTTTTTTAACTTCTAAGACTTTAGGCATTCCATGCTGGGATACCCACTCACCACAAAGGAAAATCTGTGAGATGTGAGATGTCATACCTAATAAAAGGACCCTCTGGGCAGAGAAACTGTCATTGAAGGTCAGAGCCACAGGAGCCATGGGGACTATGGAAAGTGACTCCTCTCATTTTAACAACAAATCACAGGAAAGAGTTGGCCCAGCTTTACCCAGGACCTTCCCCAGCCCTGGGGAGCATGGGCCAGAAGGTGTCACCCCAAGGTCCCGCTCACCCAAGGTCCCGCTCACCCAAGGTCCAGGCAGGGTGTTAGGATTCACGCTGTTGGACAGGTAGCAAAATGAAAGCCGAAACAGTCTCAGGACTGAATTAGAAACACCAAGTCCCTGTTTATTCCTTTTTTCCTTTTTGAGATAGAGTCTTGCTCTGTCACCCAGGCTGGAGTGCAGTGGCATGGTCTTGGCTCACTGCAACATCCACCTCCCATGTTCAAGCAACTTGCCCACCTCAGCCTCCCGAGTAGCCGGGATTGTGGCATGTGCCACCACGTCTGGCTAATTTTTGTATTTTTTTTTTTTTTTTTTTTTTTTTGAGACGGAGTTTCGCTCCTTACCCAGGCTGGAGTGCAATGGCGCGATCTTGGCTCACCGCAACCTCCGCCTCCTGGGTTCAGGCAATTCTCCTGCCTCAGCCTCCTGAGTAGCTGGGATTACAGGCACGCACCACCATGCCCAGCTAATTTTTTGTGTTTTTAATAGAGACGGGGTTTCACCATGTTGACCAGGAGGATCTTGATCTCTTGACCTCGTGATCCACCTGCCTCAGCCTCCCAAAGTGCTGGGATTACAGGCTTGAGCCACCGTGCCTGGCCTAATTTTTGTATTTTTAGTAGAGATGGGGTTTTTACCATGTTGTCCAGGCTGGTCTCAAACTCCTAACCTCAACTGGTTCGCCTACCTTGGCTTTCCAAAGTGCTGGGATTACAGGCGTGAGCCACTGTGCCTGGCCCTCTTGTTTATTCTTTTAACAGAGAACTCTTGTCACCTGAGTGTAAATTGCAATTCTATATGCAAAAAGGATGATTCTGAGTTAATTAGAGCTCCCAGAAGCTAGGATTTTATAGTGAAAGCAGCTTTTCCCTAGATATGCCCTAATAGCCAAGTTTCTAAACAATGTAATACACCCCCATCGTGGGTGTCTGGAAAACTCGAAACTGGCATAATGGTTTCAGAATATTTGTGGGGCATGAGTTGTTTCAAGATGAGCAAAAAGATAAAAGGCAAAAGAGATACATTTTGAAATTTTTTAAAGCTTCAGGGTGTATGGTTAAAAAAAAAAAACTTGAACAGTACTATAAAATTCTCGTCCTAACCCCCTGCCTCTGGGAAGTAGCTGTGTGCACTGCAAAGGCTTCAGAGAACAGAAGAGGAGGAAACCGCATGCCACTGCAACAGCGGATTGACCAGGTAAGTGCTGTCATCACACCGTAAAGCAGGGCATCCATGAGATCACAAGGCCACCAGACAGGGAGCTTGATGCAGCTGGGCCAGGCTTCCTGGATTCGTGCTCTTTTCCAAGTGAGTAAAGAACCATTGCTTATGCTTTGAGATTCTAATCACCAAACTCCCATACTCACTTGGCACTTTGAAAATCACAAGCCCTGCTCTGATCTTTAGCAAACTGAAATAAAGAGCACAGTTTTGAAGTTTCCTTGGAAGGCAGAAAGCATATATATCAGAGGCAGCCTCTCTGTCAAGTTCTAGGGCTGACAAAGAAATGGACCACAGGTTGAAGTAAGTTGAAAGATGGGATGAAGTTTCCTGCATCTCAAATTGTCTCCTCCACAGCATGCAATCTTCCTGACCAAGGTCCCCCTGAGCTCCATTTCCACCAGGAGTTATAAAGAAAAAAAAAATAATGAGGGCTGGGCACGGTGCCTCACGCCTATAATCCCAGCATTTTGGGAGGCTGAGGCAGGAGGATGACCTGAGGTCAGGAGTTCAAAATCAGCCTGGCCAACACAGTGAAACCTCGTCTTAACTAAAAATACAAAAATTAGCTGGGTGTGATGGCAGGTGCCTGTAATCTCAGCTACTCAGGAGGCTGAGGTAGGAGAATCACGTGAATCCGGGAAGCAGAGGTTGCAGTGAGCCAAGATTGTGCCACTGAACTCCAGCCTGAGAGACAGAGTGAGACTCTATCTCAAAAAAAAAAAAGAAAAAGAAAAAAATAATGAGCACTTTTGATTTGTTTGTTTAGGGGAGCTTTAGCAACCTTCACCAAATGAGTTCACTCACCTTCACTGCATAATAGTGAACCCCATAGGTTGGGAGAGATTCCACGATGCTCATGTAGCTGGAAAGACGACACGAAGAAACACACAGAACACACACAAAGCTGGTTACTCAGCAGATCTGGCATCATATACGTATTTGTGTATGTGTGTGTGATCAAGTTCTCGGAGTCATTATTTACTTGAAAACTAAATTGAAACATACCCCCACCCCTCCACTCCCAGATAGGTCTTTGGAGAGGAAATGAACAATCCTGATGTGTGATATATTAACACATACAAACACTATCCCATGCGAGCCGGAAGGGTCACTTACTTCACGATCGCTTGACCTCGTGTCTGACCGTTCAGTTTCTTGTAGTGCTCAATGACTCTGTCTTCGCTGCAATTAGAAGAAAAGAATGCTGTTAGTGGAGTCCCTAGGTCAACAGCCTAGCATCCTGCTGGCGAGGTATTTCTCAGCTCCATCTCATAAGCAGCTCCAAGGCACCAACAGCTCCTGGAAAAGTGATTTGTCCTGGAATGGCATTTCCAAGCTCAGTCTGAGTGCGACCTATTTGGATGTAGATTGACTCAAAAAATGATCTGTTTCCCCTCAAAGGACTTGCATTCTCTTTATCTTGGATTTCTTTTTTTCTTTTCTTTTTTTTTTGAGACGGAGTCTCACTCTGTCACCCAGGCTGGAGTGCAATCAGTGGTGCGATCTTGGTTGACTGCAACCTCCACCTCCTGGGTTCAAGTGATTCTTGTGTCTCAGCCTCCCAAGTAGCTGAGACTACAGGTGCGTGCCACCACACCTGGTTAATTTCTGTATTTTCAGTAGAGACAGGGTTTCATCATGTTGGCCAGGCTGATCTCAAACTCCTGAGCTCAAGTGATCTGCCCACTTTGGCCTCCCCAAATGCTGGGATTACAGGTGTGAGCCACCGTAGCTGGCTTATCTTGGATTTCTAATCAAGAAATATAAGACTGGAGCCCAAGCTGGGTGCAGTGGCTCATGACTGTAATTCCAGTGACTAGGGAGCCTGAGGTGGGCGGATCACTTGAGCCCAGGAGTTTAAAACCAGCCTGGGCAACATAGTAAGACCTTGTCTCTATCTAAAATACAAAAATTAGCCAGGTATGATGGGGTGTGCCTGTAGTCCCAGCCACTTGGCTGAGGTGGGAGGATCGCTTGAGCCCAGGAGGTTGAGGCTGCAGAGAGCTAGGATTGTGCCACTGCCCTCCAGCCTGGGTGACAGAGTGAAACCCTGGCTCAAAATAAAAAACAAAAGAACAAAAAGACTGGTGCCCAGGTTTTGCGATCAGCTCCTTGGAAGCAATGGTACCCTAAGAAGAGGAAGCAGACAGTGTTGACTATGCGTGGATACCCAGACTGAACTCCCTGGGGTCCTTCTTATCCTCATCTCCCGAGTCCTGTCCACATAGGGTCTTATGGGGGGATGGCAGGCATTGACCTTAACCCACAGCCTGCCTGCTCTGAATGAGAAGTCAGGGATGGAAGGCTTCCCAGGAGGATGGAATGTTCTGGAATTTGGGCCTGGTTAATATAAACCATGGGGCAACGAAAGCCACACAGGAACGCTTTGGGGAACAACAACAAACCAGCTACCAGACTTAGACACGAACTCCCTCCCTTTCCGAAAGCTAGTTTTTTTTTTTTTTTGAGAAGCAATCTTGCTTGTTATTCCGGCTGGAGTGCAGTAACTCAGCTCACTGCAACCTCCGCTTCACAGGTTCAAGCAATTCTTGTGCCTCAGCCTCCTGAGTAGTTGGGATTACAGGTGTGCATCATCACACATAGTTAATTTTTGTATTTTTAGTAGAGACGGGGTTTCGCGTGTTGGCCAGGCTGGTCTCAAACTCTGGGTCTCAGGTGATCTGCACATCTCTGCCTCCCAAAGTGTTGGGATTACAGGCGTGAGCCACTGCACCCAGCTGAAATCTTATTTCTACTATGACAAGAGGTTAGCTGGCTCCTTGACAGCAGTGTCAAGCCTACCCCCCGAGATGTGACTCTGGTGCCCATGGGGTAGGAGATACGGCTGCTCCCACTCCTGCCTTCGGATGGGCAGAGCCAACCTCAGGAATCCCAGGGAAGCAGGTGCAGGCAGAAAGCCTTACCCCACCTGCTGAGGTGTGGAGTCTAGACACCTCGGCCTCCCTGGTCCATCCCCAGAGCCTTGGAACCTCAGTTCTCACTCTTCTGTCTCACTCCTTGTCACCCTCCCTGTCCTCCATCAAAGCTCTGTATACCCTCAGGTTCTCATTAGAGGATCTTTATTATCTATTATTATTACTTTTGAGACAGGGGTTTGCTCTATTGCCCAGGCTGGAGTGCAGAGGTATAACCTTGACTCACTGCAACCTCCACCTCCCAGGTTCAAGCAATTCTCCTGCCTCAGCCTCCTGAGTAGCTGGGATTGCAGATGTGCACCACCAGGCCTGGCTAATTTTTGTATATTTAGTAGAGATGGGGTTTCACTACATTGGCCAGGCTGGTCTTAAACTCCTGACCTCAAATGATCTGCCTGCGCCAGCCTCCCTAAGTGCTGGGATTACAGGTGTGAGCCATCACACCGGCCCTATTATGTATTATTCGTCACTACAGGATCTACCTAAAGCCTCCTTCTACCCACATTTTTCTATTTTCATTCTTAGCAAGGTCAGCTTTGCGGTAACAGGTTCTACATGTTCATCACCTAGCCCTTGGGGGTAATTTATTTCCCTCTCAATAACTACCTTAACCTCCGATTAGTATCTTTTAATTTTAATATTCTGGAACTTGATGTGCAGAGGACAGTCAGAAGTCTTGATAAAGAAGGGTCTTTATAAATACCCAGAATGGGGGCCAGTGGGCTACAGGGGGCCTTGCTTCAGCTGGAGCCACTTTTATGGGGTCTGGACATTCTCTATTCAGAAAGGGGCAGACCCAGCCATCTCTCTCCTGGGCTCCCACGTGCCAAGGAAGTTCTATGTTACGTGTGACAAAGTTGTCTCCTGATAGATGATTACTAAAGAGCGTGTCCCCCAGGTGCAGAGCTGGCCTCACTAAATCTGCAGTGCTGTGTCAGGAGGTTCGGTGGTTCCAGTCCCTTCCATCCCACTCCTTCAGTCGACAGCTGCCTCGGAGTGTAGGAACTACCACGTGGTCTGGGGTTTTGTGAGGTTGCCTCCTAGGTCCAGGGTCAAGCAACTCAGTGTAGATAGGGGCCTTTTTCTCTTGCAGCTCTAGGGAGAGGGGGTCCCTGGGATGAGGTGAGGAGGTTCAAGTCATCATAGCATTGTAGCCGCAAACACACAGAAAGCTCCGGAGAAATACCCATGAAGGAAAGTCAAAATCACTGTCAGAAAGCCGCGCTGCTGTTTAACAACATGTCCTGACCACAGGGTTCGGGTGGCTGACAGCTGCAGAAATCTTTGCCACCCCAGTTCGCGCTGGAACGCCTGCTGTCTGAGACCATCTGTGAAGCCACAATCGTGGCCTTCTCCATCCTCAGCTTTTCCTGCTCGCTTTGCCACATGGTGGGCTCATCCTGGGATAGCAGGCTCAACCCTGACCGAGAACCTATTCTGCTCCCAGCTTGTCCCCACCTCTGCTCTGGAACTTCACAGAGGGCTGATGTGCTCTGAGCTCTGCAGACAATTTCCGCATACCCTAGATTTGGAGCAGGGACTCAAGGGGATAACTAGCAGAAATCCAGGACGCAGAGTCAGCACTGTCTGGAGGACGCAGGGTTACATGGAGGAAAAAGGCAAATGAGCAAAGCTGCCTGTGCCCGGGTCGCTGGCTGGGTTGTGTTGCTAAGTCAAACGACCTCTCTGAAGAGAAATGGGTACTGCTTGGTAAAATGCATGGGTGGTGGAAGGAGAAATAGGGGGACAGTGACATGGTTCCCTGTCTCGGATCAGCTGCTAGCCTGCTGTGCTCAGCGGTTTCGCAATGTAGAAAGATGTCCCTGCATAGCTTACTGAGGCGGTAGGGGTGGGCAGGTGGTCCCCACAAACTAGGCCTGCCGGGGAGAATCCAGGTTAGGGTCCTGATCCCACCTTGTTGTGCTCCCCTGGGTCCATCATTCTAACTTTCTGCCTCAGTTGCCTCAACAGGAAAATTGCATGGTGTGAAAAGTCCATGCTTGTCAAACGTGTGGGAAATTGAGCAGAAAGGTTTCTTGCACCATGACTCAGCATGAGTATGCTACTTTCACTGCTTTCCAATGGTGTGATGTGACTGTATATTTCCTCTCTTAATTACCATCTGAGGTAGGTTGGTGGGTGTCATCCCATTTTGCAGAGGAGAAACTGGCGAAAGCCACCTGGATGGTCACTGCACAGGCTTGGCGGGGATGTTAAGACCCACTGCCTGCAGGTTGCCCATTGAATGTGTGAACTACAGCAGGGGCAGGAGAGTCCCCGAAGAATGGTGAGGATGCCTCCTTAGTTCAGGAATGATCAGGGGACTTTGAGACTCTGGGCAACTGTGGTGAGACGGGGAGAAAGGTCTCCCCCACCAGTGAGGGGTCCTGGTTAACCTGGCTGAGTGCTGATTCTGGGGCCCAGAGAGAAAGACAGTGAACAAGCTCTGTGCACCTGCTCACTCTTCATTCTGTATCTGTCTGAAGCATGGATAGCACTTAGCCCTCGCCTTCTGGCTTTGATTTTTAGAAATCTAGATATAAGGGGTACGAAAATAGTTACGTAGAAGGAATACGTTCTAGTATTTAATAGTACAGTAGGGAAATTATAGTTAACGATCATTGGTTGCATATGTCAAAGTAGCCAGAAGAGAAGATTTGTAATGTTTCCAATACAAGGAAATAAATGTTTGTGGTGACAGATATCCCAGTTACCCTGATTTGAACACTCCACATTATGTACAGATATCAGCGTATCACATATACACCAAAAACATGTACAACTATTATGCATCAATAAGAATCAAAAATCCATATAAATAAGGTTGAACTATTAGAGCCAACACCAGCTAGCCAGCTGTGATGAAATGTTGTGGTTGTTCCAGCAGGGTGTCATCAGGAGGATCCCTGTCATTGACATTTATGCATTGGCTGGGCTGTGATGCGGACTGAAAGTCCCCCGTCCTGCCACCCTCTCAGGGCATTTAACACTGGCTTGGGCACTTATGGGTCTGAAGGGGGCTCAGGGGAAGTGCTGGCCTGGTCATGATGGTACTGGACATTCTGGCAAGCCAGCTATAGGTGAAGATGTTCATACTGAGGAGAGACAGAGGGAGTGTAGGGAGGGGAGGTGCTTCTGGGTTCGTAATCATGTGAACACAGAACAGATAATGGAGATGGTGAAGGGAGAATCCAGAGAGGTGGGGCGAGGAGAAGAAATTCAAAACTCTTGAAATGTACATAGCGGTGCTCTAAGGTATGGAAAGGAATGAACGAAGAGATGACTGAGGGACCCACACAGGACAGCTCTCAAAGGCGAGTACATTCCTCCCTGGTCCTCTCTAGTTATGTCTCACATCCCTGTGGCCTTGACCACTGAATTTTTGGAAGTGAACAGCCAGGAGGCTACAGAGGGATAAGGCCCAGCAGCATAAGGAATTCGGGAGGTGGGGAGTAGGGTCCATGAACAAGGAAACAGGACCATCATCTTGGGCTGCAAGTCTCGACATTTGGAAGGTGATGCGTGCAAAATCCCTGCAGGTTAAATAGATTTTGCTCTTTGGGGGCAGATTGTAATTAGAGAAAGCCATTATCTATCTACATCTATGTTTCCAAAAGAGGAGTGGCAATAAAACAGATGAAAGAGATGAAATGAGGGATGCCAGACACAGAAGGGAGCTCGCAGCCTAGGGCCCAGCTCCCCCGGGATGTGATTTATGAGTCAGAGTTGAATCCTGCTAATGAACCCTGCATCAAGCATGCCCCACCCCAGCCAAAGGAATCTCTGAAAGCCACCCGAGTCAATGAACAACTAGTTTACTGTCTGGAAAGTGTCCAGACAAGATGAAATGCTCATAATCCTTATATTTCAGAAACTGTCATCAAAAGCACTTACATAAGTCACATGTTGTGCTTTCCTAGGATCGACCTGGTCTGTGCTTTTGTTTTGCTTTTAAATAAAAGCAGTTGTGGCCAGGAGGTTGCTCATGCCTGTAATCCCAGCACTCTGGGAGGCTGAAGTGGGTGGATCATGAGGTCAAGAGATCGAGACCATCCTGGCCAACATGGTGAAACCCCGTCTCTACTAAAAAATGTGCAAAAAATTAGCTGGATGTGGTGGCGTGCACCTGTAGTCCCAGCTGCTCAGGAGGCTGAGGTGGGAGAATCATTTTAACCAGGCAGGCAGAGGTTGCAGTCAGCCGAGATCAAACTACCGCACTCTATTCTGGGTGACAGAATGAGACTCTGTCTCAAAACAAAACAAAACAGCAGTTGCAATGATTTCTGATAGGGAATCAGAAGGAACATCAGAGAAGCAGTTTCAGAGTTATTGAAGGGCAGTGGTCAGGGCTTAGGAGGCCAGCGAGATTGCAAAACCTTATTCAGGAATGCAAGCCCTGCCCAACTGTGGCCCAAACCACAATCTGGGAACCTTTCAAATGCCTGAATCATTCAGAATCAGTCATTTAGGGGCTGACACATGAGCTTCGGCATAATGTTACATTGCGACGAAATCAGGAGATGTGAAACATCGAGGGAAAATAAAAAAATCAATCAATCTCTTCTGCAAAGAAAAAGACCCTGGTTCTCCCACGTCTAGGAACCTCTCGCATCCTGTCATCAAATGACAGGTGTTCCAATATGAAACTCTAGCAGCACATGAAAGGCTCTCAAAGGCAGTGAAGCTTCCAAAGTGAAAATTTAGAAGGTATTCTTTTTGAAAATTTAAAAAAAAAAAAAAGAAACAGAAAAGGAGAGGTCTCATTTGCAATACTTCATTTAAGTAAATGCAGAAAACGGGCTGGGAGCAGTGACTCATGCCTGTAATCCCAGCACTCTGGGAGGCTGAGGAGGGCAGATCACCTGAGGTCAGGAGTTCAAGATCAGCCCAACCAACATGGTGAAACCCCATCTCTTCTAAAAGTACAAAAATTAGCTGGGTGTGGTGGTGCGAGCCTGTACTCCCAGCTACTCAGGAGGCTGAGGCAGGAGAATGGCTTGAACATGGAAGGTGGAGGTTCTAGTGAGCCAAGATCCCACCACTGCACTCCAGCCTGGGTGACAGAGCGAGATCCGTCTCAAAAAAATAAAAATAGATAAATAAATGCAGAAAACGGTTTCATGAAGACACACGGTACTTGATATGGCTGTGAGTCCAGGCTGGCATGTGGGAGCTGGTGGAGGGAGGGTATATTCAGTTGTCCTGTGTTGAGAAATGCTGGGTGTATGATAAAATCTATTGTTTTCTGAGAAGAACGACAGCAAGGAAGCTACTTGGGGCATTCTAAAGTAGCAAGACAGTATATGTATATCATACACTGGTTAAAACAATTCTTTAAGCACGGGCTATGTGACCCTGCCCCTGTGGCTCCCTCCTGGAGAATACTTTCTAGTTTGTCCTTGATCAGTGGTAAGTGGGCACCAGCTGCCTACATAGTTCATTGGTTCTGTGAGAAACACAGAACACCTGCTTGTTAATAATCATCACCTGTTCAGAGAGAAGAAACACGTGGGTCAGAGTCTGCTTGAGGCCCTCAGCCTGAAATACTGTCAGCACCCTGAGGCTCTCAGCTGGGAAGGCTGCTGGCCCCCAGATAGTCCCACTTTGCTGTTCTATCTGGGTGTCTGCTTCCCAATTCCCTCAGTGCCGCCTGGGTGGGGGACTCTACAGCCGAGCTGGTCTCAGTAGTCCTGTGTCCCCTCACACCCCAGGAAGGGCTCGCTCCTGGGGAAGACACCAGGGGTCTTACCAGTAGGCCAGGGAAGGGTGCTCCTTCAGGGCTTGGGTGGGCAGGGCTGGCAGCTTCTTCAAGTCACTCCTCACGACTTCATTGCTGAAAGAGAGAATGCCCAGAAATGCGCTCACCCGCTGAGAAAATAATCACATTCTCTGATCCCACCTGGGCTGGCTGCCTTGTCTGAGAGACCCCACATCTGCTTCCCTTTTAATAAAAAGCAGTGGGAAGAAGGAGCTCTCTCTTCTTATTTGCTTAATACAGATGTAAACGAAGGCAGAATACACCAAGCCCACTAACCGGCTTTCATGGAGCAGAAAGCTGGCAAAGTGCCCCCAGATGGCCAGGGGTGTCTTCCCAAACACTTCTTTCTCAGAGGGGCACAGACTGAATGCCCCTGAGCATCCCTCATCAGGAATTCAGGGAGAAAGGTCCCCAGGGGTCCCTCAGGGGTCCCCCAGGGCAGAATCCTAGGAGAAGTTCTCCAGGACCCTGCCGTTAGGCTCACAGAGCTCTGAGAATGGGCAAGCAATCTATCCAAATGCTGTTTCCTTAAGAGCATTTGCTCTGTTAATATACAAGGCTGGTTTTCACAGCTTACGTTGACCACGTGCTGGTAACTGTTTTCTGAAATCTGACAAATAAATACTGACAGAGTTTCCTTTATCTGAAATGCTTGGGAGCAAAGGTGTTTCAGATTCCGGATTTTTCAGATGTTTGAATATTTGCATTTTATATACTTACTGGTTGAGCATCACAAAACCTGAACGTCTGAAATCCGAGGCGCTCCAGTGAGCGTCATGTCGTCACTCAGAAAGTTCCAGAGTTTGGAGCATTTTGGATTTCAGATTTTCAGATGAGGGAGACTCAACTTGTAACTTTTGCTTTTGACGAGGCTCAGAAACTACTTAGAAAGTGTGAACTGCACCATCTGGAATAGGCTGAGCATCCCATATCCAAAAATCCCAGATCAGAAATGCTCCAAAATCTGACACTTTGTGAGTGCCAGGATGACGCTCAAAGGCAATGCTTACCGGAGCACTTTTGGATGGCGGATTTTCAGATTTGGGGATGCTCGACCAGTCGGCATATAATGCAAATATTCCAAAATCTGAAGGAAATCGGAAACACTTCTGCTCTCAGGTTTTATCCGTCTGGTCCTGAAAGCAGAAGTTCATTTCCCATAGACTCATGGATGCTTAGGTTTGGAGGATGCTTTAAACTCCCCTAGTTTAGCCAGCCTTCTTCAGGTGCCTGACTCCTCCCGAGACACTCAGCAGGTCGGCATTCCCTCTGGGCTGGACCACCTGTGGTGTCTGCACCCACCAACTATCTCCGGAGTGACCAGCGACAGCCACTTCGGGATGGTTCTGATATTGAAAGAGCGTTTCCCTATCCTGGTCCACCCAAGAGCCTTGGAAGCCTCAGCTGGGTTTGCAAAGGCGCACGTAGGAGAGTTCTGCCTTCGATCCGCAGTTCTGACTTGGGCTATGGTAGCAGCTTCAAGGTTGCTTATACTAATGAAGGCAAGTGCTGGCCACCAAGACCCTGGGCAGTGCCATCTAAAAAGCAATGAAACAGGAACTCAAGGTATAAATCCAAAGGAAGGAAGGAATCTCGCAGCCATAGACGGGAATTCCTGAGGTGCTTGGATGGTGGATACTCCAGCACCCGTGCTGCTAACTGGAGGATGCATCGTTCCCTGTGTCCCTGGCAAGAAACACGGCCAAGGGCAATGCAACCAGCGGTGTGATCATTTGATACCCAGTGCCACTGGGCAAAACCACAGCAATACAAGAACACATTAGTTCTCTATGTGTGTTGATAAAGAAAACATGGAGGTTATGTGACATTAGAGCACTCCCAGAAAAAGCATTTTTCTGGTGCCCTAAGAAAGAATGAGGCCAGGCGTGGTGGCTCATGCCTGTAATCCCAGCATTTTGGGAGGCCGAGGTGGGAGGATCACTTCAGTCCAGGCATTCAAGATCAGCTTTGGCAACATAGTGGGACCCTGTCTCTACAACAAATATAAAAATTACCCATGCATAGTGATGCATGCCTGTAGTCCTAGTTACCCAGGAGGATAGCTTGAGTCTGAGAGGCTGAATTTGCAGTAGGCTGTGATTGCACCACTGCACTCCAGCCTGGGTGACAGAGGGAGAAGCTGCCAAAAAAGAAAAGAGGAAAGGAAAGAAAAAAAGGGAAGTGGAAAGAAAAAGGAAAGAAGAGAAAAAGAAGAGAGACTAAGAGAAGGAGGGAGAGAAAGAGAGAAAAAGAGAAAGAGAAAGAAAAGGAAGGAAGAGAGGAAGAGAGAAGGAAAGAGAAAGAGAAAGAAAGAAAAGGAAAGGAAAAAGGAAAGAAGGAAGCAAGAAAAGATAGGAGGAGAAAGAGTAAGAGGAGAGAAGAAGGCTAGAAAGAGAAAGAAAAGAAAAGAAGGAAGGAAGGAAAACAATGCCATGACTCGTGGTGTTGGTGAATCCTGGCTTTAAATGACCAACCAGAGGGAAAAGCTCAATGTGTCAACTGTTTGAACCAATCTATTCAAGTACTTGAACTGTTAGACTCTAAGTGAGGCAAGGACTGATCAATTGATAATCAATAAGCTGAAGGTGTTGATGAAGCCCCTGCTATTACATGGAAAGAGCTGTAGGGGATGCAAAAAATGATGAGATATGGTCCTTAACCAGCAGGTACCCACGATTTAGCTGGGAAGGTGAGAGGAGCACCTGCAAAGCTCACTGACCACAGGGTAATGTGATCATGTCCATCCAAACAACAGGAAAACTCAGAGGAAATAACAGTCCCCCTGGGCTCTGGTTAAGACTAACTTTAGGGGAGGCTGTGCATGAAGAAAAGCATAAGAATATCACTTTTCTCCCCAGTGGAACACAGACAGACATGGGGTCACATGAACTGAAGAATCCATCAGAGTCAGTGGAATGTCAGGGGCAATACGCTGAAAAGGGCAGGACAGGCACTGAATTGTCAAACTTTAATGCCAGGCTCAGAGGCTTCAACCTCTCCTGGGTTTGATCCAGGAAGCAGATGGCAGGACAGCCCCTGGCGGCTTTCAAATGGGTCAACTCCTAGTGTTCAGGAAGATTCCATTCCAATCCCAAGTATAATTGGTAATTTTTACTCGCATGCTATAAAGGCATAGTTTCAGCAAATTTTCAATTCACTGAATACATGAGGGTCCACTATGATGAATTTCCAGATCTTCTCTCCCTGCTTCACAGTAAGTTCCCTGAGAAAAGGGATTTGATTTATTGGTTCATCAGCATGCAGAGTGCTGGCTTCCATGTGAAAGGCACTGTTCTCAGATGAACTTATTGGATGAAACCATGAGAAAGGCAATTAGTGGCTCCCTGAAGGAGCTGAAACTTGAGTGTGGGTTTACTCACACCCATCACATCTAAAGTATATTTGGGGAAGGAAGGAATTCCAGGAGGAAGGGATCGTTTTACCCACCAAACCCTTGCTTGTTGGCAAACAAGTTTCCCGGGTGACAGCCACAAGTTTGACTTCCTCACTGAAGCCTGTGGTGGGTTCTCTAGTTCTGCTCCAGGGCAAGGTTACACAAAAAAATACAACAAGAAATCACCAAGGCGTGAAGCCTGTCCAAATCCATTATATTCTGGAAGGGATCCATGACCCTTCATCCTTCCCCGAGGACAAATCTGTAGAAATGTTGTTTGCTTTTCTGCTGTTTATAAACATCTGCAATAACTTAGAAGTGTCCAGTCCTGTCAATCCGGCCAAACTCAGTGGCTGAAAATCAGAAAGCTGCCCTAATAGGAAACGTGGTCACTCTACCCCCAGAGACTTGCAAGGCTGTGGCGTAAGGAATGTTCTAGAAGTTCATAGCTTCCTTCCTCAATGTCTTCCACTTCAATGTATTCCCCAGAGTTCATGGCATGTGATAAATGCCAACTTGTAAAAAACTTTAAAACAGTTCATTATGGCTGCTTCCGTTTTTGGAAAAGCAAAAAAGGGCCCGATGTGGTTGGCTCATGCATGTAATCCCAGTACTTTGGGAGGCCGGGGTGGGAGGATCGCTTGAGTCCAGGAGTTTGAGACCAGCCTGGGCAACATAGCGAGACTTCATCTCTACAAAAATAAAAATTAAAAAATTAGTCAGGTGTAGAGGTTTGCTGTTGTAGTCCCAGCTATTCGGGAGGCTGAAGTGGGAGGATTGCTTGAGCCCAGGAGTTTGACATCACAGTTTGCTATGATCATGCTGCTGCTCTCCAGCCTGGGCAACAGAGGGAGACCCTGTCTCAAAAACAAAAAGAAAATAAAAGAAAAAGAAAAATGCAAAAACCTATCTCGGAGAGCCAGTTGCTGAATTGAGAACAACATTCAAGTCTTCTTATCTTGACTATTAAGCAGCTTTTCTTAAAAACTCTCAGGCAGTTATTCATGTTGCCAGCATGAAGATGGTAGGTCGCTGCTATACTGGTCTTTGATTTAGTGGGGATTTTTTTGAGCTGATGTGCCTGTCTCCTACAGCCTACAGTCCTCCTAAAACAAGGAAAGTTAGAATGATCTACTGAGGAAAAACAAACATTTCTAGCAACATATCAAATAGAGAATTTGCCACAGTGAACAGCAACACATTGAAGCAAGATGCCAAAAGAATTCTTCCTAAAACCAGTCGTTTCTTTTCTTTTCTTTTTTGAGATGGAGTCTTGCTCTGTCACGAGGCTGAAATGCAGTGGCGCAATCTCGGCTCACAGCAACCTCTGCCTCCCGGTTCAAGTGATTCCCCTGCCTCATCCTCCCCAATAGCGGGGACTACAGGCGCATGCCACCAGGCCCAGCTAATTTTTTTGTATGTTTAGTAGAGGTGAGGTTTCACCATATTGTCCAGGTTGGTCTCAAACTCCTGACCTCAGGTGATCCGCCTCGGCCTCCCAAAGTGCTGGGATTATAAGCGTGAGCCACTGTGCCAGGCCCAACCAGTCGTTTCTATCTGCACTGGGACGAAAACAGCAGAGCACAAAACCCTGCATGTTATACTAGCATAACAGAAAGGAAGAGCCTGAAACTCAGAAACAGTAACATAATGTTAGCATCGGCCTAACTCCTCCATATTT